GCATTGCAAGCACACTTGCATCAATTTGACACAATTTTTGTTTCCCATTACCTAAGTACTTAAAGTTTGTGAGATTGAGTAATACACAACACCTGAATGTTTGACTCTACATACTGTAAAATAGTGATCATTATTCACAGGTACAAATTCAACATTAAAAAGTAGTCGTGAAATAAAGAAAGTTAAAAATAACAGGTAAGTGTTTTTTTTTTCAACGACTTTATCTTGATAAATTCTGATTATTTTCATTGTGAGAAAAATTATTTTCATTGTGAGAAAAATTATTTCACATAATGTGTAAAATAACTCATTTTTTTGTTTTGCCCAAATTGCAGTAAAAGTAGAAAAAGCAAAATGGATGACCACGAAGTGGAGTTCTTGGAAGAATCAGTCAGGTTTTTATCTCAGCAAGGGTATGATCCCTTCGATATTGCAATACTTTTCTTGCATAATAAACAGCTGATAGAGTTTAATAGTGTACGTAGTGTCTGCAGAAGTATTTCGTCTTTTTTTTTTTTTTTTAATTTATTCGTAACTAGGTACAATCCTGTACTTTATTTTTCCACCACTTTAGAAAATTGCTAGCAATACACTGTTTGAGCCGATAGAAATAAACACGGTTCAATATTACAACGAAAATAGAAATAAAGTTGTTCTTTTATCATTGAGATGCGAAAAAAACAAAGAGAATGACGTCAATAGTAAGAAGTTGTTGTGTATCTTTCTATCGAAGCCTACTGAACGCTTTTTTAAAATAACCGACATGCAAAGCTTAAGCAAAATCAGTGATGTTGGGAAAAATTTAAAAGTCATTTTGGATGATGAGCATTATGCTAGTGAATCTTTCACTTACAGATGTCAAAGACACCGCGATCAATTTGTCAAGGCAATGCATTCATAATTGATCCATACCTGTATTTGTAGCATATTTACTGAATTAAATTTATTTTAATTTGTAGATAAAATCCATGGATTATTTCAAAGATTTTTCTAAAGGTATATGCTCAAAAACGTGTGATTTCTCGTTACCCTGTGGACACAGTTGTCTCGATATTTGTCATGCCTACGATCCTGAACACAAGATTTACAAATGTCGAAAAAAATGTAACAAAAAATGCCCTAATGGACACGCATGTTTACTTCAGTGTTGTGAAGATTGCCAGCCTTGTCAAATCAACGTGACAAAAAAATTAAAGTGTGGACACATGGTGGATCTACCTTGTTCCACCGATCCGGACTTTTATTCATGTCAGATGATGGTAAAAAATTTAATTTGATATTTTAATTGCATAAGTGTACCGAATAAATTTAATCTTTTGTCATTACTGATAGTTGAATGCCAAAATGCCAGATTGTAGTCACACAATAAAAAACATTTGTTACCTTGTAAAGGATGTAAACAGATGTGAAGAAAATTGTAAATTTCGTTTGGATTGTGGCCATGCTTGTACAAAAAAGTGCCATTCAAACTCGGATCCTGATCATCTAGAGGTTTATTGAAAATTTTTACCACTTATATGCATAGAATTAGATACAATGTTTAAATGTTTGTTAATATGTTTAGTACAAATGCATGAAAAGTTGTGCCAGAACAAATTCTAGTTGTGTCTATAACCATCCTTGCCAGAAATTGTGCTTCGAAGAATGTGGTCCTTGCAGTATCGTGGTCGACAAAAAATTTCCTTGTGGACACACCAAACGTAATGTCAAATGTTCCGAAGATATTCAAAAATACTTTTGTATAGAATCTTGTAATCGAATCTTAAGCTGTGGTCACAAGTGCCCGCAATTGTGCGTACAAGACTGCGGAATGTGTGCAGTCATGGTAAAAAAAATTTCTAAATTTTTGGAGCCACTCAATATCTTTTCATGGAAAATAACTTGCTTAATTACTATCTCAAATTAGAGAGAATCTTTATTTTATTTCATTTTATTTTTTATTTTATTTTTTGTAAGGTGGAGAAGAAGAGTTCATGTGGCCACAAGTTAAAAGTAAAATGCTCCGAAAAAGCACTACCATCAAAATGCGATGAGCCATGTCCAAAAATTCTGCCATGTGGTCATTTTTGCACCAACAAATGTAAAGATGAATGTACCGTAAAATGTGAAGTCATGATATTTATGAAAAAGCCGGGACTTTGTGGTCATAAATTTCAGATTCCGTGTCATTTTCAAAACATTGGTGAACATCCAAGTTGTTATACTCAAAATAGTTTAATTTTTAAATTTCATCACTGGTCAATGTTAAAACGATTTTCTTTTTTTATTAGATGCCAAATCTACGACCCTACTGAAGTATTGTCAAAATCCGTGCAAAACGACTTTAGCTTGTGGGCACAGATGCGTGGGCAACTGTTTTCGCTGTTACCAAGGATGTTGTCACGTATTTTGTGAAGAGCCATGCCAAGTCACGCTTATTTGTGGACACAAGTAATTGCCGTTGTTTTTACACTTTTTTAAATTACAATGCTATTCAAGATTTTATATATATATAATTCACTATGTTCTACCACAGGTGTGAAATTCCATGTGACAAAAAGTGCAGACCTTGCTCAAAACCTTGTGAACTTCAATGTCGTCACAGTAGATGCAGCAAAAGATGCGGCGAGCCGTGCACACGTTGTATAGTGAGATTCTTCAGGCTTTTTTTTTTTCTTTTTTTTTTTTTTTTTTTGTCATACTAACAGTATATTATCGTTTTGGTTTGTCATTTTATAGGAAAAGTGCGAATGGGGATGCAAACACAGACGCTGTACTAAACGTTGTTACGAACCATGTGACATAGAACCTTGCCCCGAGCCGTGTGACCAGTTGTTACGTTGTAACCATCCATGCGTTGGTTTTTGTGGGGACCCTTGCCCTCCGCTTTGTCGAATTTGCGATAAAGATCAGTTGACGGAAATTTTTTTTGGCAACGAAGATAATCCTAATGCTCGGTAAGAGTGTTTAAATTTGTGTTATTTGCCCTCTCTTCGATTTTTCGCGAGTTAATAACAAAATTTTATAATCGCAGATTTGTATTGTTGCCTGATTGCAATCATATTATTGAAAATGAGGGTTTGTTGCAATGGATTCGAGGTTTTAGTTCGAATAACGGGATACAGGTATTGTCTTGTCCTATGTGCAAAATTCCCATTAGTACGTGTATGAGAATAATGAATTTTGTAAGGAAAAATTTGAATGATTTGATGGTAATCAAGAAGAAAATGTTCTTTGATGGTGACGAAAGAACATTGGAGATAACGAGAATGGACTACATTGAAATAATTGAGAATGTGGAAAAACTCCCCATCATCAAAGGTAATTTTTTATCATCAGTTCATCAGTTCATCAGTCTTAAACGATTCAACGTTATTCAGTAAGGTGTAACAAGTTGCTCGCTTCTTTCAGAATTTGAGGATTTATTTAATTACTTGGAAAATTTGAAGGAAATGGCAAGTGGTGTTAAAAACAACAAGAAATATACGTTCAATATGTACGAAGTTGATGCTATAAAGATCATTATGAATGTAATTTTTCAAATCATTAACCATTTGAAGCTCATTGATAAATCTTGGAATCAAAAAAAGGCATATACGTTTGTGTCCTCTCAAATAAGCGTATTAATACGCTTGATGCCAAATAAATTACAAATTTCCGATCAAGAAATCGGTCAAATTCAACTAGAATTAAAGAGATTGTACTTGCAAGTAAATTCTTCAATTCTTACTAATCGTTATAGATAGTCATCTAAATTTTTTTTCAAATTGCCCAATCATTTATTTATTAATTTATTCTGCAGGTTAAACTGTGCAATTTATGTTCTGGTTTATTTGGAAAATGCTGGGACTTGTTTAATTCACAAGATTACGAAACTCTGTATGATTGCTTGTATGGTGTGCAGCCGTTTACCAAATCTGTTGAAAACAAAGCACTAAAGATACTGCGTTTTTCAAAAAATGTGACCAACTACAAAGAAATAGTTAAAGCCATGGGGATGAAAAAAGGTCACTGGTTTAAGTGTCCTCAAGGACACTTCTATGTAATAGACAATTGTGGCGGACCAATGCAACGCGGAAAGTGCATAGAGTGCAAAGCTGGTGTGTATATAGTTTATCTTCAGAATATATGACAAGTTTTTATCTAACCGAGTTTATTTGGTTTTTTTTTTTTTTTTTTTTTTCAATTAGTTGTTGGTGGTGAAAAACATCGTCTCCAAGCTGATAATGCTTTTGCTGGGGAAATCGATGGTGCAACAGCCCCCGCTTGGCGTGGAAATATGTATTAGTTTGCATGTTTTTGGATTTTTCGTTTTTACACTAGACTTTTTTTTTTATTTATTCAAATGCATTGTATGGATTTTGGTTTTCTACAAATCGTATTGAAGATTGAATATTAGAAAATTTTTTAATTTTAGATTTAAAATGAACATTTTGATATAAACAATGTAAGAATACTTTTTGAGTTTGTAAGAAACAATATTTACGGAGTACTTCAGATTGTAGAGTATTTTAATGATATGTATTTTTGATAACTTTACTCAAACATGAGCGTCAAGGTACACTAAAACTGTAAATACTTGAATAGATTTCAATGATAAATTAAAAAAGCCAATCATTATTGTATTTAGTTGCTTACAACGTACACCTAAGGTTGAAAAACTCTTTTGTTAACCTAAGATTAATTTTAATAGAAAAAGTATGTTAACTAGTTTAAGAAATTAAAAATTTCTTAACTTACTAAATATTTGTTTTTTTTTACTTTTGAATAACGTACGAAAAACAATTTTTTAATAATCAAAGTTGAATGTTAATATACAAACTATGACTTGTGAAGCTTCAAAGAAAGTATTATTTTCCGGCAATTGCAATAATCCCCGCAAACCACTATAATTCGTCCATAGGAACTTTTTTTTTTACACAAGCATTGAAAACTCATCTTTTTACTCCTCGATGTGGCTGCATGCAAACGAGCCTTTAGTTCTGTAGGCGTGACGACGCAGGTCAGCTGATTGCCTCCTTCAGTCGACATCACAAGATCTGCTGCTCTCCTCCTCCGCGCTCCGAAATTAGTTTCTGGATTTTCCATTCCGTTTAATTTGTAATTAGAAAAGAAACTCGTATTTCTCATCAAGTTTAGTTGATTCACAGCAAAAAAATGTCGCTACACTCTGCTGGCAAAGGAAAACTCTTGGCTGTCATTGGTGACGAGGTGAGTGGCTTTTGATCACAAGACACTTTTTGCTCGTTGACTATTTTTTTTAAGGTATTTATCAGTGAATTACATTACTTTAGGACACATGCGTTGGTTTTCTACTGGGAGGTGTTGGCGAGATCAATAAGCACCGCCATCCGAACTTCATGGTGGTTGACAAAAGTAAGTTTAGCAACAAACAAACAATCGCATCAAACTTTTGGTGAGTAACTGTAGTTGAAAACAGTTAGTCAAGAAAATGATTTGGGTTTCAGATACAGCTGTTGGTGACATAGAGGAAACTTTTAAGAAATTTATCAAACGAGATGACATTGACATCATCCTCATCAATCAAAATGTAAGTTTGAGTGGTTAATAGAAAGAAAATCATAAGCCCTTGAACATCTCAATTCAACTATGACTTTTAAAAGTTTTTAAATTAACATTTTTGTTTCTACCTAACGTTTTTAGATTGCGGAAATGATTAGACACGTGATTGACAGCCATACACAACCCATCCCATCGGTGTTGGAAATTCCAAGTAAAGATCATCCTTACGATGCTAGCAAAGATTCGATTCTTCGACGTGCTAAGGTAACTACTCAGGATACATATTTTACCACGTTTAAAATTACTTTTGCTGCACATGAAGTAAAAAAAAATCAATCAATTAACAACTACATTGTACCTTATTTCTTCAAAAGTAATGTTACATCCTGGACTAATGCTAATAACATTGCTTTCTAGTGTGACCGTAGTAAATTAACATATAATATAAAAAATACCAAAGTAGCATGTTTAATAAAACACTAAAAATTACATGAATTTTTTGTTTACTTTCTAGGGAATGTTTAATCCAGAAGATATTCATTAATTCCCGCGTCTATTAATAATGGAACTTTGCAATTTATGAATCATGTAAATTAAAAGAAATTGTGAATTATATTTATTAGTCTAACTGTTTATCGTGTATTACTGTACAGTATTGTTATGATGTATGTTAATTCCANTATAAACAAAGATTTTATTGAGTCAAAATAAAAAATTACTGTTTTACTGAGGGTACTTGCAACTTAAAAATTATATCAAATTTCTATTATTTTTTAAAAGAATGCTTTACTTGAGTGATAAGTATAGTAAAATTTATCTTTAGTGATTGAAACTTTTCAAGGTTACCAAAGTTTTATTAACAATATTGTGGCCAGAACAGTGTGAAAAAGTAGCTATTCGCTGGGTAAGAGTTTTTTTTTTGGTAGATAAACACTTCCTACTATCGTAGTGAATTTATTTTTAGGCTTTTATTGATTTATGAATGAGTATACATATATATTGGGATAGGCCCTTGAGAACCTTCTCTCGAAACTTCGGAATCACGCCACAATGTGTAAGCATAGAATAGCTGGTGGCGCTGACAGCCATGAGCCTTCTCTTCCCATTTTTGAAACTCACCACTTTACACGCGGCGTGAGGGCGTGAGTGCTGTACTCAGCAGCGTTGGGCGTTGGGCTGCGTTGGGTTAAGTTAAGAGGCGGATTCTACTCAGAGTGCAAAAGACGACCTTTTTTATCTCGTCGTTTGGGCCTGAGAAAAATTTTTTGAAAATCACAAAAGCATCAATCCCCAGATACTTTTTCCTCAGCTTTCTAATGGTGCTATCAGTTTTCATAAATTTTTACTTTATAACCTATAAAAATGCAAATGTTGGTAAAAATGCGTTAAATCTCATGATGTACACTTTTTAGAACTTTTTCGACCACATAGATCGAAAGATGAGACAATTTTACTTAAGTATAGTCAATAAAAAAAGAGGGGTTTTTTGATATTTTCATGTATATTGGACCGATGAATGTATAGGTGTGAGTCACAGCGCGGCACGGGTGGGGTTACTGAGGTTCCTCTGCTTCTAACGTGCCACGCGGTGACTCACACCTATACACTCATTGATAAAAATATCAAAAAACTCCTCTTTTTTTTATTGACTATACTTAAGTAAAATTGTCTCATCTTTCGATCTATGTGGTCGAAAAAATTCTAAAAATTGTACATCATGAGATTTAATGCACTTTTACCAACATTTGCATTTTTATAGGTTATGAAGTAAAAATTTATGAAAACTGATAGCACCATTAGAAAGCTGAGGAAAAAGTGTCTAGGGATCGATGCTTTTGTGATTTTTAAAACATTTTTCTCAGGCCCAAACGACGAGATATAAAAGTCGTCTTTTGCGCTCACGCAGCGTTTCTGCGGTGGCGATAGGGTAGTTAAGAAAGCTCTCCCCATGTAGCCTTGGTACAGTAAGGCACATTTTTACTTTATATTTGTTACATATTACAATTAAATGGTTTACATGTTACATTATTGGTTACATTTTCACTTTTACACAGTTTTAGTTCCGTTGGTACGTTAATGATGTCACATGGATCACCTCGACAGCAAAGGATCTATGTGGTAGGCAATTTTTGCTGCGAGAAGGTCGCCCATCCCTTCACAAGGAGTATTGCGTGGTGAAAAAGCACACGTAAAAATCCACAGAGATACTTGCTTGGGAGAGGCGCACTGGCCGGGAATCGAACCCGCAGTCTCCCGCGCGTGCCGTCCTACAAACCGGCCGACCGAGCCACCGCGCTTTCTGGGTGTATGATTATAATAATAGTAGTGGTAATTATCATTATAAAAGTAAAAAAACATTGAATAAATAAATAATATAAAACTTTCCTTTTTTTAAATTAATTTTTATTATTTCAAAAACTACGTAACTCTTCTAATATATTTACAAATTCTTACAAATGTAATTTTAGAAACGCATGGCTAATACATTACACTTAAATTACTAGTCAATCAAATCACAGTGAGATTGGCTCTGACTGTTTCATGCAATATACTAAACAGTTGAAATACCGCTTTATGAAACTAATTATTTTGTAAGCTAATAAAATTTAAGATTGTAATTTATTCACTTTCTATTTTTTCACAATTTTTTTCAATCTGTTTATTAAGAAATCACCGTAAATTGGAAAACACTGACGAATATCTACAGTAGTGGCTATTTTAAATAATCTACGAGTCTTGTTGTTAATTTTTGCATCACCCATTAATATTTTACATAACAATTTTGCCTTAATCTTAAAAAATTTCTTCATACACTCGATTTCTATTAGACACTGTTCATAGTATTTTTGACAATCTTCGTGAAACTTTGTGGCATCAAATTGCTTGATTCTTTTCTCACCATTCGGTGCACTTTCACACACGGCAGTATGTCTTAGCAACATATCCATATTCGGCATACCGTGTCCCAATTTCATTAATCTTATTAATCTTTTGTCTCGATAATCAACCACACATCCTTGATCCAGCAAATATTGTATGAATTCCCATAATTTGGAATTTTCAAAAACATCGTGGAATACATTTATGCCACACTTGTTTTTGTGATTCACATCTGCTCCACGTGCGACGAGTAGTCTCATGCATTCCATCTGATTTTCCGCCGTAGGCTCAAACAACTTGGGTTTGCCAGACGACTGCAAGAATAAAAAAAATTTTTCATTAAAATTTTCATGCATGGAAAATTTTGAATGACTGTTTTTATTAAAATAAAAAATTACCTTTTTACTTAACGTATTTTTCACAAAGTGTAGTTTCATCGATCTCGTCACATAATGTAACGGACTAGCATTAAAACTGTCCAGCTTATTGATCGACGAAGCTCCTTTATGTTTCAGTAACAATTTGATTAATTTTGGTGACGAAATATAAGCTGCGTAGTGCAAGCTGGTCATGCCTTTCTTGTCCACAATCTTGACTTTTGCTCCAGACTTTAATAAGATCTTAGGGATTTTAAGATCTTCTTTCTTCAATTCTTTTTTACCATCTGTAATTCACGTAATGTACATATAAAATATCCGTACCGATTAACATTAATAAATATCATACTAAAATTATATAAAATCTCCATTCGTTTTACCTAAACAGATTTGGATCAAACTCGTCATCAAAGGAGTGCGACCGTCCTCATTTGCAGAGTTGACGTCGTGACCAGCTTTAATAAGTAACTTAAGTACTTTGTAGTTCCCACATTCAACTGCGACGTGTAACGCTTTATGTTGACGTTTAAAATAAGACTTCTTGTCGAGACCATCAGACCGGCAAAATCATACAGAAATATTAACCAAAAATATACATAATTATTATCCCGCATAAGTATGTAACGAAAATTCGTAAGCTATATATTATAGGCTTACAAAAATATTTAATGTAATTTTGTTAAAAATTTTGAAAGTATCGAAAAAGCTAGCAGCAAAAAAAAACGACTTGTAATTACCTTAGCCGCAGAATTGCCCATCGTGTCGTAACAACAGAAACTGACCACTTTTGCCAATACAAAGATTCACTTTAATGACAAACGAAGCACTTTCGAGAGACTATGTTACTGAGACTTCAGAGCACCACAAAACGATGTGAATAGAACTGGATGAAGCAAGCAACTGAGCTCAACACTGCAAAAGCAGCGCTTTCCATAACTATGACAATGAATTTCACTTATGAGTAGTCCACAGGACTTTCTATTTCAATGCCAAGACGAAGTAACGAATTCGTGGTACAAAAGATTAAAGAGAGAAGGGCAGCTCTCCACGTGGCAGTATATCTTGATAAAGTTTCCCTAAGTGAAGTACATTCTTCCAAAAAGAGAAGGTTAGCTTCGTACGCGCCAATACCCCCGAAAAGTTTCCCGTTTCATAGTATTGTACAAAAGAGAGAGAGGTTAGCTCTACACGCGCCAGTACCCCTGAAAAGTTTCCCGTTTCATAGTATTGTACAAAAGAGAGAGAGGTTAGCTCTACATGCGCTAGTACCCCTGAAAAGTTTCATCATTTTGTAGTGTACAAAAGAGAGAGAGGTTAGCTCTACATGCGCCAGTACCTCTGAAAAGTTTTTTATTTTGTAGTGCACAAAAGAGAGAGAGGTAAGCTTTACACGCGCCAGTACCTCTGAAAAGTTTCCCGTTTCATAGTATTGAACAAAAGAGAGAGAGGTAAGCTCTACACGCACTAGTACCCCTGAAAAGTTTCCCCATTTGTAGTGTACAAAAGAGAGAGAGGTTAGCTCTACATGCGCCAGTACCTCTGAAAAGTTTCTTATTTTGTAGTGCACAAAAGAGAGAGAGGTTAGCTCTACATGCGCCAGTACCTCTGAAAAGTTTCTTATTTTGTAATGCACAAAAGAGAGAGAGGTAAGCTTTACACGCGCCAGTACCTCTGAAAAGTTTCCCGTTTCATAGTATTGTACAAAAGAGAGAGAGGTAAGCTCTACACGCGCNACCCATCCCATCGGTGTTGGAAATTCCAAGTAAAGATCATCCTTACGATGCTAGCAAAGATTCGATTCTTCGACGTGCTAAGGTAACTACTCAGGATACATATTTTACCACGTTTAAAATTACTTTTGCTGCACATGAAGTAAAAAAAAATCAATCAATTAACAACTACATTGTACCTTATTTCTTCAAAAGTAATGTTACATCCTGGACTAATGCTAATAACATTGCTTTCTAGTGTGACCGTAGTAAATTAACATATAATATAAAAAATACCAAAGTAGCATGTTTAATAAAACACTAAAAATTACATGAATTTTTTGTTTACTTTCTAGGGAATGTTTAATCCAGAAGATATTCATTAATTCCCGCGTCTATTAATAATGGAACTTTGCAATTTATGAATCATGTAAATTAAAAGAAATTGTGAATTATATTTATTAGTCTAACTGTTTATCGTGTATTACTGTACAGTATTGTTATGATGTATGTTAATTCCACAATGTAATCTTCTGCAAAAAAAAAAAAATTAATTTCTTGCATGTTTTGATGCAGAAGTGTTGTATTATAAAAAATAAACTAAAATTTGTTTCACCAAAATTTTATTGTGCATAATTCGTAAGGCACGACATTGTGATGAAAACAAGTCGTTTATTTATGTACAAAAGATTATCACTTGAGCTTCTAGAACAGCAACAGACTTCAATGAATAAAGAATTAATACGTATTTTTTTGTTAGTTAAAAAGTGATTGTTTTATTCAGTAAATAAACTTTTATCAACAGTTATGAGCTGACACTTCTTTTTTTTTCTTCTACATTTTTTACCACTAAATTAGAATGGTACTAAAGTATCAGTTATGTCGAGTTTCAATTAAAGTATTTGGTAACTTTTTACAAGTTTCTATAAGACGCGTTACACAATTTACATTCATTTTATAGTCTTGCAGTTTCGTTGTTAGACTATATAATATTTTGTGTTGTATATCACAGTCCAGCAGATATAAATAATAAGCTAGATGTGCATTAACTTACATGTAATGAATAATGGACATTGATGGTCTTACCATCTTTCAAAAAAATATAAAAAATTTCAATTTATATATTTCATTTGATCAAAGATGTTAGTGAATTCAAACAAAACTTACATACGACACTGAAATCAATTTTAATTTTTAGTAGCACAAAGCAAATAATTTTTTTATTCATCATGCAAGCTTCTAAACTTCACAAAAATATTGAAACAGTTACCTAAATGATATTAAGAACTCATGAAAATAGCTAATGAATTGGTGAATAATTTTTTAAATCATATTTTAGCAGTTGAGTAGTTGGTCTTTTACATTGCTTTTTTTAAACATCCATTATTCTCCAACCAGTCTATAAACAAGTACACACGCAATTCGTTTCATGCAAATAAATATCTTTAACATTACAGGTTAATTTCAAAAAATTCGATTTAGATTTAGTTTAATAATCAACTAATAAAGCCATCTTTTGATTCAATTTTTCAAATGAGCAGAAAACTTTACTAGTCTAAAAGTTATCAGTTGCAATAAAAAACGTTGTTAATTGTTTAGCAAAACGATTTCTCAAAAATAGGTATTTTCCAAAGTTTAATGATAGCACATGTGACCATAAAATTTCAGAACATTATTTGTTTTTGTTCTGGAGTTATCTTGGCCACAAATTTTACTTCCAACAGATAGACATTTTTACTCACACGATTTTTCGACTTAACTTAAGACATAAACTTCGGAATAATGAAGAAAAAATTGTAAAAACATCTAGGTACTCAAAAATACCATCTTTTCAAATTTTTCTCTTTTTACCGGAAATCCATATAAATTATCTTAAAATTAAAAATAACACAGCTAATATAAGTACTTCTATCTACTTTAACATCGTAGTATTAAAAATTTGTACCGCTTAGCTTTCACTGGTTTTCAGATCTAATGGCTACACCAATAAATATCATTGATATTTTTCACTAGATTATGTAACGACTTTCGTTGATCAATCGTTTAATACATCTATAAGTCAATACAAAGTAATACTTTAAAATCAGTGTAAAATTTCAATTTTATAATTATTCATCCTCTTGGAGGATATCATTTTATAATTCATAAAAAGCTTGAATAAATTATAGGTAAAAATTACTTTATACTGACTTATTCGCGATGTGATTATGTGAATAAATATTCGTACATAGTCTTGCGATATTTCAGTCATGGTTTCGCAGCTATCAAAAACAATGGCACATAATAGCCCTAATGGTCATCGTTTCGTGACATTTTAGCAAAATAGTAGTGCAACCCACTATTTACTGACGTTCGTTTGATAAAGACATTCAAAAATCTTCCTGCTCTTCCTTGGCAGACATCAATAATTTTTGAGTGGTGGCAGTTAATTTATCTGAAATAATGTTGTCGTCAAAGATTTGGCACGATTAAAGGGCATGTTGAAAATGCTTACCGTTTAACTTTTGGAAGGTCTTTGGCTTCTTCTTCCAAGCGACGCCAATGAAATACGCGGGTATACCCGACAGCGTTATAGCTACTCCCATGAACACTTCAATGGGTCTTTCAAAACACGGTACCAGTACCAAAAAGGCGCAAATCAGCACGAAAGTCACGGGAATCCAGAGTGAGACCTTAAATGAAACACCAACATTAGTAACAACGGATGGCAAGTGTGTACAATACGACTGATGAAATTGCATTTACTTTGATAGGTCGATTCATTTGCGGCCTTTTGTATCGCAGCCACAATATTCCAGCTACCGAGAACATGATAAAGGTCGACTCAACGATGCTGCAGTACGTGATCAATACAAATACATCGCTTGTGCACAGCATTGCGAGAGACAAAATACACTAAAGCAATGTTAAGATACTTGAGTTGTTGATAGTTTTTTGTGTTTACTAGAAGTAACTTATTCAAAAATTACCAAAAACACCAGAGCAGGAGTCGGAGTGAACCTGTCGACGTTGATGAAACTGAGCATTGCAGGGAAGTGTCCGTTTCTGGCACCAACGAAACACATTCTTGATGACGTCATTATGTGAACGCTTAGTCCACCAAAGGCAGATATGGCAACCATCACTGGGATGATCCACGCTACGGAGGAGAGTATCTTGTCACCGAAAGTCTGAAAGTAAGTAGTGTTAAAAAAATCAATTGATTCACGAATCTTATTGTTGAGTTTTATCGTTAACATTCATAAATTTAATACTCACGACTGCAATAGCTTCTGAGGCTATCATTGCTTGCGGTGTCAGTACTGCCAAGTAGGCGACGTTTGCCAAGACGTAAATTAGTGTCACGAGAGGCAGTGAAATGTAGATAGCACGTGGTAAATTGCTAAAAAACATATTAAATTTATTACTTTGTGACACAGCTTATATTAATGATTTTACTTACACATAAGGATTTTTTAATTCTTCGGTCATGAAGTTAAGGTAGTTCCAACCAGAATAGGAAAATATGCCAGAATAAACTGCCACAGCGATTTTCCCTGGACTCGAGCTTGTATTCTCAAACGCATTCTCAAAATTCTCAGTATGACCTGTAAAGTTGAAGTAATTATCATTTAATTATTCTACTAAGCAAAATTATACTTAAATAATTAAACATTTTATGCCTTTGAGCAACGTACCCACACACACCCAAGCCAATCCTGCTAAAATAATGATCACCAATGCTCCTACTTTAGCAAACATAAAGACGTTTTGCATTTTTGTGGTTTCTTTGACATCATGGCAATTAATGTATGTTAAAAAACCTGTAATTTAAAAATACATTTATTATTATAAGGGTAATCATTTAGAAGATATTGAAAAAAACGTTTACTCACATATCGTGACTGCTGCTAATAATCTAACAGATTCATCAGGAATGGGACAATCAGGAAAGAACGGCTGAAGCACATATTTTGCAAAGGTCAAAGCCATAATTGCATTAGTTGTTGGTCTGTTAGGGTAAAATCTTTGCGTTAGCAAAAAAAAAACATTTAAAAACTTTAAGAATCACGAAACTTACACGAAAATTAAATTGGCAGCCCATAAATAAAGAAAAGCAGCAAGATCACCAAAGGATTCGTGAATGTAAGCATAGTCACCACCACTGCGAGGTATGCTCGTGCCCAATTCAGCATAACACAAGGCACCGATCATAGACAACAAACCACACAATACCCAAATAACCAAGGACAAGCCCACACTGTTTACTTCTTGTATCACTCCTTTTGGAGAAATGAATATTCCTGTACGATAAAAAAAAAACGGTAATTAGCTCGTCTAATGAAAATATCAAAATTAATGGATCAATGAAAATTACCTGAACCAAAGATGATCCCTAGAATAATGGCAACTCCTTCCAACAGACCAAGTTGCTTCTTCATGCGCACTTTATCCTCCCCATGTGTCAAACTCTCCATTGCTGCTTTCTTGGCCATTTTTAGGAACTTTGCCAATTAGACTTGAACTCTGGAAAATCAAAAAAAGCACCTATTCTATCACAGGATCAGCCAACAAGAGTTAAGCAACTGAGCGGGAGCTTGGCTAAAGTTTACCTCGCGCATCCGTCAAAATAAACCACACAGCCCTAATCAAGCTAACGCGTTTGTAACTCGAGACAATTGAGTTTGGAGAGATCTCAATTTGTCTGATTAAAAGCTAAGACAAGAAGAAGAAAAATGTGGTGCAAACTTTTTCAACAATTGCAGCGAGCGCCAGTAATGAAAATAGTCACGAAGCACGTGCAGTTAAACTACACTTATCTATGTCCATAAATCAAAGTCACTGTCAGAAAGTGCATCTATCTGTCAATTTATTGTTGACCAAGAGTTCACGGAATCTTCAAACTTTCTGCACATACAATGAGGTTCAACATGAGTAAGTAGTTGTAAGGATGTACCAAGAAATTACAATTTAAATTTTTTATTTTTACTTCAATTTTCATTTAAGTAATTCTGCAAAAAAAAGTAAATCAACGCTCTTGTACGCGTGTGGTGGTGGCGTCTTTGGAGATTCAAACTTGTAGCGAACGGCCGTAAACAAAAGAAAAAAAAATGCAACTTTATCCCATGAAACATTGGATTATTGTAATTGTTTGAACGAAATTAATACACACGCGGGACGGAGCTAAGTGTACATAATTAAGTAATATACCACACGAACACGTGCCGTTTGGCCGAACACCGCGAGAGCCATGTGCACTGGATATCGTTAAAAAAAATGCATTTTCACCTGCACGCACGGTGTGTTGAACACCTTCACTCGAGGTAAGGAGAAGAAAAATTTGCAAATAAATCTTGGAAAGATTACTTACAACGAAAGTAAACAATTTATATTGATAATATACCTTTTTGTTGTTATGTCGTACACTTTGATCGTTTAGCAGCCGACGTTATAGCGTCCTATCTCCTATGAACTTCTGCGCGCGCGCTATTTTTTTTTTTTTGCGGATCTTCACGAAAATCAGCGTGCGGTATTTTCGGTCGAAATGGAAAATTGGATCAAACGTCACACCTACTCGATTTTTCAAATTTACGTGTTGGCTACACAAAAACCTTATAATTTAAGACGAGACGAGAAAGAAAAAAAAACAGCAGTTCGAAATAAATGTAAGTAAATAGGTTGTTTGAAATTCGCGCCATCGGCCAATACGAGAGTATCGAATCGTTGGGCGATCGATCTATCGAAGTTGCGTGATCGTCATTTACCGTCAACATTACAGCGGTGCGTCAACGATCGGTTCAAGGACCGTCTCTACTTTACACCAAATTTGACGGAGGTTCCATCGTCATCCATGTGAGAAAAAAATTTTTTACTTAGGTATTTTCTTTTTTGAAAATCCATTACTTTTTTTCGATTACTTTCGTGCTGCATCATAAGTATACAAATACACACTGCGTGTCAAACCAAAAAACTGTGTCAAGTGTCAATCATTCGTTTCAGAGTCACTTCGTCGAGTTGATTGTTTCGTTGTCGAATATTTGGTGAGTAACAAAAAAAAGCAGCTTTTCGTGAAGCCAATGGCATCGAGCATGGACGTGGAGGAAGAGGAGTTCGAGATGCCGACCTCGAGTAGTGCTAGGGGCGAGAAAAAACGCTTCGAGGTCAAAAAGGTGAGCGACGTTCCGGCCCTTTGTTTACAACTGTCTTGGCTCACGCCGACTCTAACCTCATTTCTGCCCTGTCACGCTTTTGTTTTTGTTCTGCAAGACTATGTTTATTTTTACCACTTTGTTCGTCAATGTCTGATTAATTTTTTCTATTGTCCTTTTTTTTTTTTTTTCTTTTACATACATTATCTAGTGGAACGCCGTCGCACTCTGGGCATGGGGTAAGTATAGTTCCTGCTCTTACTTTTTGATAAAGTTTCAACACTGTATATGATTTTATTGTTTTTGTCTTTTGCAGACATAGTCGTTGATAACTGTGCAATTTGCCGCAATCACATCATGGACCTGTGCATTGAGTGCCAAGCCAACCAGGCTTCTGCCACCAGCGAAGAGTGCACAGTTGCTTGGGGTGTTTGCAATGTCAGTAGGCCATTTTTTTCTATTTCCTTTTTTAAAATATGTTAAAGAATTACTTTGAGGTCCCTAATTTGTACCTTGAAAGCTTGGCAGAAGTTTATATGGATACAGTGTTATGAACAAACTACTTTATTTACCTGAGTATCTTGAGATCTGACTTTATCAGCTGAGTGTAGACAAAACTTTAATAATAATCACAATGAATGTACAATTTATTTTTAAAGATGATTTCAGCAGTTTACAAAACTGTGGAAACAGTTTTAAAAAACTTTTGTTGTGTTGACGCATTGATTTTTTTGTTTTCAGCATGCATTCCACTTCCATTGCATTTCTCGCTGGCTCAAAACAAGACAAGTTTGTCCACTTGACAATCGTGAATGGGAGTTTCAAAAGTATGTGCTCATTTTGGACTATTTTTTTAGTTGACTTACAACTATTCAGTATATTATCATATTAATATTATTACACATATTATCATATTTTTTCAGATATGGACACTAGACGCCTATTTTTCGTGTCGATTTTTATAACATCAAAGTTGAAGTTGAAACATCAGAATGTGAATTAAAAAAAAAATTACTTTTATCTACAGCTGTAAAATATATTTATGTATGAAATTTCAGTTATACTAAGGCCTCTTTACTTGTTCAAAAATACATTTTTTAACTATATACTGTCAAATATTTTTTAAACCAAATTTTGTTGTATTTAATTATTAATATTATACATTAAAATCAATATATTGAAAAATTCTTTCCTAATTTTGAGTTTAGCAATTTAAATGGTAGAACTCAATATTATTAGTAGTAGTTTAAGCTTATTACGAATTTAATTAAAGTCAAACACAATTCTTAGATAGCTAAAAAAAAATTTTAAATAAAAAAAATGTAAATTTTTTAAAATAAAATGAAAAATATTTTAAATCAGAAATTCTGTAACTAAAGCACTTACATGATTTTAAGCATTACATCGATATTCCTGTTATTTCTATTGAAAATAAAAACAGTATCCCCATTTAGTTAAATCAATTGTATGCATTATTTGTTCATTTATTTATGAAATAAACTGATCTTCCTGAAACGTATTGCATGTGGTTAAAAAGATGAAATCAAAATAAATTACAATTGTGGTCTTATTTTCAAAAAAAATTAATTTTTTCCCACAAATCGTCCAAACTGACTATGTGCCAGATCATACATCATTTATCATTTATTTGTATTCAAGTTTTTATGGTGAGACCAAAGTTTTATGAACAGATTAGTGCTTGAAATAAATTTTTTTGTAGTGCTTAAAAATGATTTTTGTAACAGAGAACATAAAAGTGACATCGTCAAGAAAAAAATATTTATTAAAAAAAAAAAATAGTTTCCAAGATCCACAACTGTCCTATATTTTGTCTTACAACAATCATTTCTTTCTGAAATCGATGAAAACTGATTTTTTTCATTATTATCAGTAATTTTTGCTAACATAGTAATAAGACATTAAAGTATCAAACAAAAATAATCAACTTTTTCTAAGAAACTTAAGTACTTTTGCATTCTGAGTTATAATGGCCCAACATTTAGTTAATATTTTTTTTAACACCTTAAAAAAAGAAGTAATCGTGAATCTAGATGAGACAAGAATGACTAACAGTCAACATCAGCTATTTCATAGTAGTTTTAAATAATTAAAGTTAAAATTTTTATTGGGCATAATGATTCAAACATTTTTTTATTAAGTTCTTATATTTTTTTTTAAGCAAAATTAGATTATTTATGTTATTACTTTGTGTACGTATTAAAAAAGAATGATTCAAAAATATGAAATTTCAAGACTCCATTAAAAATCGTATCTGATGAAAATTATAGACATTAAATAATTACCCTTGTATATTTATTCAATAGCTGTTTTTTTAGTACGAATACAAAAAAATTAGGTTTGACAAAAAAAGGTTTTCTCTATTTGTAAAGATTTTTCTGTCTCAATAAAAATGGTAACAAATTTTTTTATTAGTTTGTTCGTAGTAGAACGTTTGACTGTTAATTTATATTTTTTGCAAAAATCCGTTTACATTCGATTTGCTTATTTTTTGAAAATTTAATGTTGTGTTGGTAAAAAAAAAAAAAAAAAAAAAAATCGTTAGGAATTGTAGTATTGAAAAAAATTGAAATTTTTGTAACTAGTCATAAAATGTGATTTCATATAGTTACAACAGTATAATCTTCCCGTTAAGAATTTTTGTGATAATGAAAAGTAGATTAAGGCAATGTTAGAAATACGTTCGAATTTATTTGGAATTAAAAAAAAAATTGTCAAATAACGTGATGGTAACTGTAACTGTTATACTTGTTAATTTTTAATTGACCGATATTATTAATCGATTAATTTTTTTCTCTTTCCACGCTATCTTGTAGAAATTAAATTTTTCTATCATTTCAATGAATGCGTGGAGCAAATGAAAATATATTATTTTTTATCTTCTATTGAAATAGGATTGAAACTACCTAGAACTTGAATTAGTTTTCCAAAGTTGTCTTAATCTATGAGCCATAGTGTCGCCATTGCTTAATGAGGGGAATTTATTTAATGATTTTAAAACTTTATATTTAGTTGTATACGTAGAAATTGACAATAATAATAAATGGTAGAGAAAATCATTAACGTTTGTTATTTTAATTATTTTTAAGTCATTTAAATTATACATTTAGTCTTTGTGACCGAATAAGTTGGTATAGGTGTTTTCCACAGTAAAGATATCTTGATTTTATCCAGTGCGTGATCTATTCAGTTGAAATCTTTTTTCTGAGATAAGAATTTTCAGACGTTAGAAAAATGTAATGAAAATATTTAAACCTCGTAGTAGTAAAATACCATCAAGCAACTATTGTTTGCCAAAAACTACGACGTGAATAATTTTTTTTCAAATCATCAGTGAAGTTTCAATTAAGACGAAGGCCGAAACATGTATACGTTAAAAAAGGAAAGCTAAATCTATATGACTACAATTACGAAAAACGTACTACTACTTAAACGAGTGATCGACACGTCTGATACTTAATTGTCGATTATTTTTATCAGTTAGAACATTTATCTATACTTCAAGTTTTTCTTTCTTTGTACATTTTTTGGACATTTAGTATATTCTACTTGTCTACGAAATTTTGCGTTTCACGCGTCCTGAGCCTTTTGCTTCTTGAACAGTTTTGGGTTGATATTTTTTCCTTGATAAATGTCTACTTAAGAATAAAAAAAAATTTACCTAAACCTTACGCTTTTCGAATGTGACATGAAAACATATATTAATAAAAAATTCATCGTTGAAAAGTCAATTTCTGAACCGAAAAACGGGACAAACCTCGAATAACGAGTTGGTTTTACCAAAAGTATCATGTAAAATTCATTAAAGTACCGAATCGAAAGAACGCAACCCCAGGCAATCGCATTGTACATACGTATCTTGAATAAATGAAAAATAAAATGAAACAGAAGAACAAGAAAAGCCGGAAAAATTTCGTAAAGGCACACAAGTAATAAAATCCCGGGCACAAAAGTAGCAATAATAATAATTATCGTCATTATCCGACCGAGGCGATTGATAAGCGACTATTTTGTAAGAGGCAAAATCGTCGGGAGCTTTGGGGATAAGAGCGGGGAGGGGGGGGGGAGGCCCAGACACGACGCGGATTATTAGTCGAGCAGTACACCTTGGGCTCGTGATAATAATGGACATAACAGACCGGACACCATCTACGAGTCCCAAAATCGACCGTCTCTCGGATACTCTTCAAAGTATACAAGATCATACTATTGATTAATAATTTTTTTTTTTTTTTTTTTTCATTCAAGTGACGAAAAAAGTGATTTTTTTATACTAAACTCATGTGTGTTTTCTTTTTTTTCCATTTCTGTGTTTTAAGGAACTTATTCGAAACTACAGTTACCGTAAGTGCCTTGATGCCGTAAGTATATACCGAATTCACAGTGGATTCGGATGCATGTGCAATTAAATTTAATATATTGTGGTGATGATCGGAAATCTGCGAAAAATGCGCCGCTGTTAATATTAATACAACGATAAAAGTAGATATGATAAAATTCAATCCAAACATTGGTTTCTTCGAGCGCATTGTAACAATGCATTGTTCATGTGTATAATAAATACGTGTATCGTACGCACGCGTTTGCGTCAGTACAAGTCGATAAAACGGTACAAAAATTTTTTTTTGAAAAATTACTAAATTGATTATCCGTGTACTTCTAATTACAAATGAATTTCTAGTATCTACAGGCTTTTTTTTTTTTTTTCCTAATCAGCGTGACGCTTGAACGTGTGTTTCTATGTGCTCTCGCTTGATTGCACACTACAATGCAGACAATACGATAGTTTGATGACTTTTATCTGTTCGCGTGAAAAAAAAATTTAGCGGGTGGATATCTGTAATTTACATGTGATTGGTAAAAATGTGTGTTAATTTTTTTTTTCTTTTTTTTTTTTTCGGGTAAATGTTTCGTTGAAAATTTGGTTTAAGCAATTTACGGTAAAATAATTTAATGAGCAATAACGATTTTTCAGAGACGACAAAGTTGACAGTGATTTCATCGACTATGTGGAACCCGAGGAGAGCCACTCCGTGTCCACGTTACGAAAATCCATTTCACAGTACTGCGCGGTACTTATCGCGAGTCTTTTGGCAATCACTTACGGATTCAGCGTTGGATTCACGATCATAATAACTCACCAATTGCAAAACGACACGAGAATCACTCATGTCACGGACAGTCAAATAACGTGGATAGGTAAGTCAAAGTTTGTGGAAAAGACAAGCTGTCAGTCCATTTTACACATTATGTGGTACGGCCTAAGTGATTATTGCCGTAATTGATTTTATGGAAATTCGATGCGGTATACCAACGTAATTGAAAAAATTTTATTTTTCGTACGAATTTTAATGTTTCGGAGAAGTAACTTGTGCTTTCTTACTACAATAAATTTTGTTTAAAACCTACTACACAAAAAAAGTCTGGTTTTTAGCATACGTGTATGTTAAAATCGTTGCAAATTTTATGCGCTTTTCAAATATTTTGTACATATTTTTGAAGCGTAGGAAAACTGTTTTTTCATAAAATAATTCCATTTTGAAATCCACGTGTATATTAAATAGTGTATTTTATTGGTACTCTGAATTTGCTGAGAAATCAAAATAATATAGTCGTTTTAAAATTTTTGTTTTCTAACTTAATCATACATGCACTAAAACTTTGAAATGGTTTATTACTTTTATGCTTAAATCAACTAAATAATAATTTCCATCGCAGAAAATGATTCTTGAGTAAAAATATAATTATTTAATTTATTCCTTGTAATAGAAATGTACAGAAACATTTCGCGCTAAATTATTAAAATTTTCTTGCTCTTTTGTAGGCAACTAAGTTTCGTAAATAATTAGGAGAAACTAATCATTTAAATTTTCAAGCGTAAAATTGTTGTTTCTTAAAAAAAAAAAGTTCATGTAATTTTCTGCAGAACAGTCCATTTAACTGTAATTAATATTAACGTGGAAAAAATTTGATTAAACCATAAAATTTTAAATAAACATGACTCAAAAGATATGCTCAATTCAAGAAATATAAAAATTAATAAAAATGATTGTCAAGCAAATACTAATGAAAGTTGAATTGTAAAAAAAAATAATGAATTGAAATTCTATACTCTACAGATCTAATTTATTTGATAAAAATTTTTCCATTTAAAAATGTATAACTTAAATGTATTATCTCTTAATGAAGTTTAAAACACGTGTCTATAATATTATTGAGGTTTTTCACTTGCTAAAGTATGTAATGAATTTATTCACAACTTTATTAGTTGACTGATGTTGAATAATAAAGTTTTTCTTTAAATAAGATTTCATAAATAAATATTATTTAAAATTTTTCATCTAATAACAGTCAAAAATTCTTAAAGATATTTAAAAATTTTTTTACATCTTTTTCAATAACGGCTTTTTAACACCAGAATAGGATATGCAACGATTGCAAATATTCTCTAATGAAAAGAAATCAAGTACTCTGAGTACAAATGATTAAAAACAAAATTAATAAAATTATCAGAAGCACAACGAAAAATGAGATTTTAAGGAGATATTATGCTACATAATTTGCAGAAATTTTTTCTTATGGACTTATTATATGAAAATCGACACTTTTTGCACACTTCCTTCAAAGTTTATTGGATGCATTCTTCGAAATTAAGATAATATTGTTTAACAATATTTTAGAAACAAAAGTCTCTCAATTACCTGTAAATAACTAATGCATAAGAATAATTGAATGATTATTCCGAATTTCGTAACAAATTTTTTGCATCACAAAATCAAAATTTGCTCATAACTTTTGATATTAAGTATAGTTTTTTTTATATTTCAATTAATTTAATAGTCCAAATCACCTAAAATCTAACACCTCTTTTGCAAATGCACATGTGTTACAGAACGAAGTACTTTGTTAAAGCAAAACAAAAGCTGTTAATTCAGCTATGTACTTAATAACTATTTGTTCTGAAAAAAATTGAGCTTATTTTAAATGAAAAACTAAAAAATACGTCGTGAAAAACTTAAGTGTATTGAGAAAAAAAAAAAAAAAAAAAATTGATAAAACACATTACCAAAGCATTTAACAGCGTTTTCTATCAATTTTATCCATCCAAACTTTTTTATTAAAAATCTTGTCTTATTTTTAGCCATTAAGACTTCAAATTGCTTAGTCTAAATAAAATTTTTGCTCACGTTGTGCAATTAAATTTTGTTAAAAAAATAAACTGGTGTGAATTTCAGGGAGTATGAACTATTTCTCAACACCCCTGGGCGCGATGGCCGGGGGTGCTCTGGCCCAGCGTTTAGGTCGCCGGAACACCCTCCTTCTGCTCACGATCCCTTACTTCATATCGTGGATGCTGATCAGCTACTCGAGTACCGTGAACGAGATCCTGATTGCCTTTATCGTCATAGGCACTGCCGGTGGTATCGTCGATCCCACGCTTCAGGTCTACGCGACGGAAATAAGCGAGTCACGGCTCAGGGGCGAGATCTCGTGTTTTATTACCACGACCATCATGTTCGGCGTGTTTTTGCAGACCATAGTCGGTATGTTTGTCGATTGGAGGAATTTGGCCATGTTTTGCGGCTTAGCACCGGCCTTTGGTTTGCTGCTCATTGGCTTTGTACCCGAGAGTCCGTATTGGCTCGCAAGTGAGTGGATTTTTTTTTCTTTTTTACATTTTGGAGTTGATGGTATTCAGTTGAGATAAAATTGCTCAACGGATTTTGTTTGAAATACACAGTTTCGGTTTATTTTACAAAGGATTGATCGTCACTTGACTGACGGAATTTTATACGTCCCGTGATTGGTTGAAACTGACCAGGTGGTGGTTTGTTTGTGGCGGGAAAAGTTCAAAAATTAGATTTTGAGAAATGGAAAAATAAAAAATTCAATAAAAATTTATATTATAAATGTTTCAGTTTGATTTTCTTAAATAATCATCAAAAACAAGTGTATTTTATCAAAGTTTAGGGTAAGGTAAAATTCAAATTTCAGATGAACTAAAATACTATAAAAATTTTTTTTGTTTCATTCAAAACGTATTAAACTTTTTGAAAAATAGTTAAAAATAATAAAATCCTCATAAACTATGATTAAACAGGCAAAGGTCGACTGGGCGACGCCAGACAAGCGCTCTGTCGCCTGCGCGGCTGGACAACACCTCAGATGGTACGACACGAATACGATCAAATCCTCCAGTCTACGGTTGATCTCAACTCGTCCTACAAACCGCCATTCTTCTCCAAAGAACACTTCAAAAGAATGTCACGACCAGCGGTCAGATTACCGTTTATCCTCGTCAGTTTTGCCTTTTTTGTGTCCTGTTTCAACGGCACCACGAGCATTCTCACCTACGCCCTCGACACTTTTGAACTCCTCGAGTCACCGATCAACATACACACGGCCACCATCATTTTCACGGGACTGCAAATGTTGGGTTCGATACTCTTGTTCTTCATCGTTCCCAAAACTGGCAAACGATGGCCGACCTTTGTATCCCTCATCGTTGCCGGTTCCTCTTTTCTCATTGTTTCTGTCTACGTGTTTATGCGCAACCAAAGGTTCTTCAAGGTAATGATTAATTTAACGTGTAAAGTCACGCTCTTTTAAATAAAAAAACACCATAAAATACCGGTAGTCGGTAACGTAGGTCGCTCATGAAATCAATAAAATAAAGTCAATTTTTCCGTCAGGTGAGCTGCAATCCTTGGCTAAAGTGGATACCACTGTTGGCACTCGAGATATCAGTGTTCGCCACGACCCTGGGTATCGAAACAACCCCGTGGATCCTAGTGGGCGAAGTTTTTCCGGGAGACGTGCGCGCCTGTGCCACAGGACTCGTCACCTCCATTGGCTTTATCTTTGCCGCAGTGGCGAGTAAAATCTTCCACTCGATGCTCTCCGTTTTAACTGTCTCCGGGACGTTTATGTTTTTCGCAACGGTCAATTACGTTGGTCTGGTCGTGCTTTATTACTTTATGCCCGAGACCGAGGGAAGAACCCTTGCTGAAATTGAGGAGCATTTTGCTGGCAAGCATAAACTTGACGATCCAACCACCGGACCCGAGGGTACTGAGCTAATGCCGATAAACTCATCGCATACAAACGGCACTCGTAAATACGCGGATGCTTGAGTTTTGCATTATAAGTAATGCTTATTACCCTTGGTATGAGTGAGTATTGATGAAAAAACTGAGATTTTACCATAACCTTCTTTATCGTAAAGCGAAGAAACCGCCAACTACAGTAAAACCGGGGTATATATTTTTTCTGTCAATCGTTTCGAATTTATTAATATTGATGAACAAATCGTAACTCTATTTGTTAAATTTTTTGATGTTATATTGACTCATAAGTATGCTAAAAGATAACAACAGGATAGTTAATTGAAATTCACGTGAAAAGTGTAAATGTAATATTTACGTAATTTACCGGCCGGCATATTTCAATTGTACAGGTTCTAGTAACTCAATTGTAGTTCAGTACTAAGGCGCGAATAATTTATGATACAAATATGTGTTTTAAAAAAATCAACAAAGCTCGTGGGCAGTATATTGTATTAATGAAAACTTCTTGTGATAGTTTTTAACAATTTCTGTTTCTTTTTTTTTTATAAATACTTTGTAATGACAAAAAATAGATACTGATTTTTTCTAAAAAAATTTTTTAATTTGGAAAATAGAAAATGTTTATCATTCTAAATTTGTACCATTTAGCATTTTAACTGATTCATCAATTAATTTACTTTATAATTGAATGATTATTCCGAATTTCGTAACAAATTTTTTGCATCACAAAATCAAAATTTGCTCATAACTTTTGATATTAAGTATAGTTTTTTTTATATTTCAATTAATTTAATAGTCCAAATCACCTAAAATCTAACACCTCTTTTGCAAATGCACATGTGTTACAGAACGAAGTACTTTGTTAAAGCAAAACAAAAGCTGTTAATTCAGCTATGTACTTAATAACTATTTGTTCTGAAAAAAATTGAGCTTATTTTAAATGAAAAACTAAAAAATACGTCGTGAAAAACTTAAGTGTATTGAGAAAAAAAAAAAAAAAAAAAATTGATAATCTAGATATGAAAGTT